TTCTGTAAAAACGTTCGTTAATAAAAAGTTTTCTTTAAATTGTAAAAAACATTGTTAATGCCTAATATAATATAAATGATGACCAAATATGTTTAGACTAACAAGCTCGAACTCATTAAAATATCTATAATGCGTATATTAATCAAAACTTCGTGGATAACAAGCCCAAATACCCTGCAGGATCTGACCAAATTTAAGTATTAAACCCGAACCTTTTATATTAAAGCGATTGAGTAATAAAAGTTTAAAACTATTGTAATAAAAGTGTTTTAGGTTAAAACATTTCCAGTACCTTCACTCTACGCTATAATTCCGTGTGGTCCAATAGACGTTAATATTTTTTGTCTTCTAAGCAAAGTCTGTGAGGAGGATTATGTTTTTAGATTCTTTTTGATAGTGAATTTTAAAGTTTGGTTCAAACTGGAAATAGTTTTGTGGCGATTTTTTATTAGTGAAATGATTGGTTCTAAAAAAGTAGTTCAAAACATATAAATAAATTTCCCGGGCCGTTGAATGACACCAGCCAACCAAACGAATTTTTTCTTTTGTTCATATGGGAGGATTTGGACTTTAGTGATATTTTCGAATGTGATCTTCAAAAATTTGTATCAATCAGATTAGCAAAATTTGTGATTATTGCAAATTTGTCTTACATTTGATTGGTTGCTTTATTTAAATAGTAGTTAAAGTGCTATTCAATTTTATGACACCCTGCTTTTATTCTTTATTATTGCGGTATGAAATTTATATTTACACGTAACAAGACATTAATTTCGAAGATTACCAAATGGCTTTTCATGATCCTGAAGTGAGTAAAACTTTTACTAGTACAATGCCAAAGGTTTGTTTGTTTTTTTTTCTTTAGTACAATGGTTTGAAAATTCGTATTTATGTTCAATAAGGTCCTAGTTTTATAGGTCCCAAAATAGATTTCAAGATCCTAAGATAGCCGAACTTTTACTGATAATAATTGAAACTTTGCCACGTAGAATTATAGAATGCCGCAATATACATAGTTGGGGCGATTTTTGAAAAAATTTCTTGACTTGGGAAATTATAGACAAATACTAAAAACACTTGACCCTCGATAATATCAACCCATTTGGATCGCTTTTATATTCATGTTGATAGTGGTATTTATGAGGGATCATATTAAAGTTGATATATATAAGGGATTTTAATATGATTTTAATATTAATTTTATTATTTAGGTTGAGATTAATGAAGTTGACATTAACAAGGGTCAAGTGTATTAGTAATAGTTAATTAAAAATTTAGAGGATAATTAAGCTATTTAGTGTAAACGAAAAAAATTCTTCAAAAAGCTATAATATAAAATTTTTAAAATTTTGGGGTGTATTTTTTTAGTTTTTTTTATAGCTAGATTAGAATTTAGAGTTAGTTTTGATAATAACAATTTATAAGCAAATTTTGGCAAAACTTAGTAAAAAAACTCTTTCTAATGATTCTATACTAATAATGAAATAGAAAAGGAAAACTCTTTATCATAGAAAACAGAAGCTATTAATCAAACTGGCCTATAAGCATTAAGTAAACCTATTTAGCACTGTTAAAAACAACTAAAAATATACAAACCCTATAAAAAATACCCGTTAATAGTATTTATTAGCAAAAAATATACAAGACTGCTTTTTAATAAACCCTTTACTATCTAGTGAATACAGTTTTATATAGCTATTTAAACAATATCTAACAATACTATATCCATCACAAAAAATGCAAACAAAGATTAATATTTAGCTCCTAACAGTAATTTAGCAAATCTCAAACAACCTATCATTTCAAAGCAACTTTTATTAATTTTCTAGCCTATTTTACAAAGAAACTAACTATTTTCAAAACTTCAACCCTTTTGCAAACCTAACTACTACTATAAATACAGAATATATAAAAAAGCTTATTAGTATACATATTAAAAACTAGATTAAACTCATCTTTATAGCTATCTTTTTAGTTTCAAATTTGCTAACAAATAACTTTTTACAATCAATATCATTAGATCAAACTATATCTCAAATTTGATTAAACTTTTTATACAATAATTGTGTAAATATAACAACTCTGCTCAATTAGTATTGTTTGTTTTATATCAACTAAGTATAATATTATTAGCATCAACACTAAACTATCTAAAAATATTTATAGTTGCAATTTAGTCTAGTTCTTAAATTATATAAACAAAAATAAAAAATATATATATTATTCAAATACATATTTTAAAAAATTATTATTAATTCTATACAGCATAGTCTTAAAACTTGATACAAATAAGCGAAAATGATTATAACCAGCGCTTTGTTTATCCTTTTATCTAATAATCGGTATATAGATAACTCTAAATGCTCATAAAGCCCTAAAAAATTATCTGTTGATATAGAGTAGAAATTTGCATAATTTTTATTGTAAGTTTCTGATATGTAATTTTTGTATATAAATACGTTAGTCAAAACTTTCATCGTGCTGGCAAAACTTTGGTAATGCAGGTGCAATAATCATGTGCCAGTGTACTAGTTAATGTAAAATTAAACAGTGTAAAATTGCTACCCAAAAAGTTTCAAACATCATGTGACAATATATCTGCACCAAAATTTCATTTAACTTAAATAAAAACTATAAACAAAAAATTTATAGACTAACAAAATAATAATTTCAAATAAACTCAATAAATGTAATATTTATTACAGCCAGAAAGTATCATTATTACAGTTTTTATAAGTACTGTATAGTTCCGAAATTAAGCACCCAAATTAAGCACCACCGACAGTTTGTACCTTCTCTAAAAATAAGCACCCTCACATTTTATATTTTGTTTTATCTCTCTGATTTCATATTAATAGGTTTTAATATATTTTATTTATTTATTGTAGCTAAATACTTAAATTATTCAATTAAATTATGTAGCTTAGTTATACAACTCGTAATTACAATAAAAAAAAACTAATTATCGCTAATATCTATATTATTGCCAATGTCCATAACTTCACTAATGTCTATAATTTCAACATCTTTACTACTAAGATTTACAATTTTAATATCTTTACTACTAAGATCTACAATTTTCTTACTACTAAGATCTACAATTTCAACACCCTTACTACTAAGTTCTACAATTTCAATGCCCTTACTACTAAGTTCTACAATTTCATTTAAATCATTTAAAATACCACATTTAACAAAAGATTTAATAATAATATCATCAGGAATTTGTTTCCAAGAATTTTTTACCCATCCACATATATTACTTATTCTAGCATATCAAAGGTTTCTAGCTGCAGTTTTTCCGGCACCACCTTTTGCTATCCAAAGATGCCATTCCTTGCGAAGATTGTCTTTGAATAGTTTATTAATTGCAATATCAAGTGGTTGGCAAATACTAGTTAAGCCAACCGAAATAACTACTAAATCAATATTATTATCGCGAAACTTATCTTTGACCAAATCTTCTAAATGTTCTTTAAACGAATTGTATACCATCATTGCTGGAACCTCACATTCATCATCATTATTCATATCATTAAGATAATTGATATATTGTATTATCAAATCGGTTCCATCTAGTCGTTATCTTGAAACCAAGCAACAACACCAAATAGAATTTTTTTACTACGTGGTAATTGTTTTCCTGTAAAAATACCAATTGGTGGAAACTTCATTCCATCTATAAAAAACAAATATGAATTGCAATTCATATTGTTGTACAGCATAATATCTACACAAGAGTATTAAAAAAAAAAAAAAAAGCTCTATATAATATTTTATTAGGAAGTTAAAAAAAAATTATTCCTACCTGCGGCGTATGTTAAAACTACTGTAAACTAATTTTTGTCATTATTAGTCCTACAAATATAAATTGTTTTATTATCCTTTTATTGATAGTAAAATTTCCAACTATATTGAACCACCTGATCAATTACATTCATATACTGGAACCTGCCCACCGGTGGGCCAGGCCAGGAAGAAAATTATTACTTGGTCTC